AAACGTTTCCATGCAGTCGACGCCGACAGTTTGTGACTTACCATTACAAACAAGTCGGGCTTTGTATCTGTCTAGGGAACCATCTGCTTTAAATTTATGGCGAAAGAGCCAAAGAGCACGGATAACCGGCTGATCCGTCGGTCGAGGAACGAGCACCCAAGTATTGTTAGCCTGCAAAGCACTAAATTCATCATTCATGGCCGTTAACCAGTTAGGGTCCGAGAAAGCTTTTGTATAAGAGGTAGGTACGGGCGAGATGTTGGTTGACGTGGCGAAAAGGTAGCGGGGGTTTGGTTTGAGTACCCCGTCTTTCGCACGTGTTTGCATGGGGTGAGTGTTGGTAGGAGGAGGGGCGATAGGCGAGTGGAGGGTGGTGGGGGGGGAGTCGGCCGATGATGGGGAGGGCGATTGGGGGCCCGTTGGGAATGTAGAAGGTGGGATGGGAGTGGTCGGTTGTTGGTCCGACAAGATGGGTGTAGGAGAAGGAGGGCATTGTGGTTGGGTGTTTGGGATGTTGGTGGTGGGGAAAGACGTATGATCGAGAAGTATGGGATCATCGTCGAGGAAGGTGTAGAGATCTTTAGGTGGGGTGGCATGAAAGGGAAATGTGTGTTCATCGAATGTGACGTGACGGGAAAGATGCACACGACCCGTTTGGAGATCGTAGCAGTGGTACCCGCGAAAATCGGATGGATAGCCGAGGAAAACACATTGGGTGGATCGTGGTGATAGTTTGTGAGGTTGTGTGGCCGACATGTTTGGGTAGCACGCGCACCCGAACACACGAAGGTGATCGTATGTAGGGTGGCGACGGTATAGGGCATAAGCGGGGGTGTTATAGTCAAGTTTTTTTGTGGGAAGGATGTTGTGGAGATAGGTAGCCGTGTGAAGGGCTTCCACCCAAAACGTGGGTGGAAGACGGGAATGCACGAGGAGTGCATGGATGACGTCGTTGAGACGACGAATCATGCGTTCAGATTTCCCGTTTTGCTGGGACGTTTGTGGACAAGAAAATCGAAAAATGAGTCCCTATTGGTGAGCAAAGTTTTTGAAATTGGTGTTGTCAAATTCGCCCCCCAAATCGCACTGAAAGGTTTTAATGGATGAATGGAACTGGGTTTGAATTAATTTGTGGAATTTCGTGAAATTGGCAAAGGTCTCGGATTTAAATTTAAGGGGATAAATCCAAACAAAATTTGTGAAATTGTCAATTAACACCATGTAATATTTGTAACCGGAATTACTAAGAACAGGAGAAGTCCACAAATCACAATGCACTAAATCAAACGGTTTAAAAGTAGCAGACATAGAATCTGAAAAAGGTAAATGTTTGCTATTTGAAACTTGACAAGAGCGACAAAGCAACAAATCAACAGTTTTATTATGCTTGAAAGAAATAAAATGACGAAGATAGTGAAGCACGTTCGCGCCGGGGTGTCCGAGACGATCATGCCAAGGTGTGGAGGCGGAAGCTGTAAGCAAAGTTGTAACAGATGGTGTGAATGGGTAAAGGTCGCCACTGCTATTGTGGCGGGAAAGCAGGTGCCCATCCTTGAGGTCCTTTAAAGAGAAACCAAAGGGGTCAAATTCAATGGAAACTTGATTATCAATAGTGAATTTACGAACAGAAAGTAAATCTTTTATGACCGAGGGCGAGTGGATTATACGGTTGAGATGGTAGGTTTTGTTGGGTGTGTTACAAAAACCGTTTCCCGAACCGTGAACCGGTAATTTTTGGCCATTACCGACAAAAATAGGGCTTACGGGTAATAAACTTGGAGTCGTAATTTTACCTGGGTCCGAGGTAATGTGAGAGGATGCTCCCGAATCCATGTACCATTGTTGATCATTGGGATTCAGACTCAAGGCAGACATTGCAGTTCCGATGTCCGCAGGTGATAAAGCATTGAGCGACGGCTGTTGGTACCCAAAACCGGGAGGGGCCTGCATAGGTGTTCGAGACATGTGAGTCAGGTGGGCCTGTTGGTTCCCGTATTGAGCCTGTTGAAAAGGTTGGGACGGGAATGGAGTGGGCGGCGGTGTCCAAGGGTTAGATTGGGCGTGAGGCCCATTTGAAAATTGTTGCGCAGGTCGTGGGCCGTGGGCATTGGTACCGCCGGAACTCCACGGATGTTGATTGTGTTGATTGTGAGATCTACCCCCTCCTCGGCCAGAAAATCTACCGCCTCGTCCCCTGCCGCGTGCGGCTTTGGCAGGGTCGTAGTTGTTGCCACGATATCCGTTCGGGTAGGGAGAACGATTGTTGTCGGTGCTCTCTGTAAAGGTGTTACCTTTGGTGTGATTGGCGGAATGAACAAGGGCCGTGTCACGGTTGGAATTGGATCGAGCCGCCTGTCGTTGTTCGGCTTTGACCATCCCCCTAGCGACATCCCATGTAGGGCATTGTTGATTGATAATAGCACCGATAGTGTCGTATTCAACAGGGAGACCACGAACCATTTGAATAACGAGGCGACTTTCGGAGACCGGTTGATCGATATCGCCAAGTTGTCGAGCAATATCTTTCAACGTTTGACAATAGTCATCAAAAGATGCGGACGCCGTAAGGGTTGCGTTCGTGAATTTCTGTTCCAATGTCGCCGCCCGAGCATGTTTGTTGTTGATGAAAATCTCCTGGATTTGAATCCATGCTTGTCGTGACGTGGTGTTGTCGTCAAGGATACGGTTGAGGATTTCATCCGACACCGTGCTGTAGATCCATTGGAGGATGAGAGCATCCAATTCGAGCCAACTGGCGTATGCCGGATCTTCTTGTGACGGTGTCTTGGTACCGTCTATATGGTGGAGAAGTTTGTAAATCTTGAGATGGTTCTTGAATAATTTCACCCAATTGGAATACGGGGTTTTTGTGCCATCTAAAATACGTATTTTCTGATGAACATTGGTGGCGGTGAGTGCGGGGTGAAGGTGTGGTTTTTCGGGGTTGGCGGTTTCGCCGGCCATGGGGAGGAAGTCGTCGCCGGCGACAATTAAGAGAAAAGGGAACGGATATTGGCTCTGATTACCATGAAAATTTTAATAATTGATTTTTTTCCCTTGCCTGAATTACACAAGAGATCCCTTTATATAATCATCCTAGCTCACTAATTTAGGAACATAAACAATAAAATAATCAATCAAATAAATTCAAATAAATGCATGCAATCTTATCCTTTAATACCGCTCTCCTCCTGCTTCAACTGCCAGGGAGTATTAGACCGTATTTATTATTATTGTTGTTGTATATTTCTTCCATATTCACTCTCATGTATTTTAGGATAGTTTGTTGTTATCCTTGTATATATTCGATGGATTATTGCTAATGAAGGGGGATTCTTTTGCCAATCTTTATCTAGTTGTTAACCAAAAAATTAACTAGCTGCTACAAGTTAGAATCGAACCCCAGAACTCCTATATGGAGAGCTGTAATTTGGAGAACATCAACCATCCCTCCAAAACCAGATTTAAGTTACAAGTTTGGGTTTAAAATATTTCAGGGCACCCTCAAAATCAAGTGGACGCATGTTCAAGACACCTACTTTTTTTTCCTTATGATAATCAAGTGAGTGGGGGCATGGGACCCTACTCAGTACGTAGTAGGTCCGCCCCTGAGCATAACCATTTTGTGGAATTCATCCGAATTCGATATCTCAGATGTTTTGTGCCTACCTTTCCTCATAACATGTGATCCACAAGCAAAATACCAAAAAAATATGAATTGCTTCGTTGTATCCTTTCCGAATTATTGTGTTTCAGAATCTTGGCGCTTCTTGAAGGATCAAGACAGTCTGGAAGGGATTATCTATATTTGTTGGATTTCCCATCTCCCGCAACATACCTAAGTAAGGCAGTTATCTAAGTTCTTTTTGGTCGACTAGGTCACCCTTCCACAAGAAGAAACTCTGGTCACGAATAAGTTATTTATCTAGTTTACACACGTCATATCCATCTATGTGTCTAGGCCTAGTTACTTTTTTATATTTTTCATTTCACTAATCTATGGGGACTATTGGTGGTTTTAGGTACATCATCACTTTCATTGTGTTGAATTTCTTTTCAAGTTGTGTTTAATCAATGCTTCTGTTGATTACCAATTTGTAATTATAATTAAAGCCCTTTGTAACATTAACTAAATGATTCATTTTTCGTAGGATTACATAATTTATGGAATGTTTGAAACAATACATGAACGATTATGTGCTTAACTACAAAAAAATGAGGTCGCTAAATGGAAGAATAGGCGTTTACCAAAAGTTAGTGGTATCATGTTATATTTTGTTGTAATATTGTGCATTGTTTCTCAGGGTATGCAGCTTATATCTGCATGCTATATTATCAACAGCATGCACTCCATTTTGAAAGAGCTAATTTTCATACACAATTCTCTTTTACTGATACAGTTGCTCATTTTTAGCCTTAAAACTTTCAGTTTCATATGTTATGTACCATGATTCCAGGCCAATACCTGTAAACATGATGATAGAAACAAGCATGTTTATCTTTGTAGGTACGCTATGTCTCAGAAAGGGTACTACTTGTGTGATCCCTCACTCAAGAGGTGACTCTATACATCCCACAATGACAAAACAGAATCTAAAAGAAAACAATCTTTCTATTGGATCCACTACAATTGCTCATAACGACTTGTACAAAGATAAAGCTCACAATGCACAAAGTAAAGATCTGTTAAAATGTGACCCGTCTGCAAAGACCAGAACTGTAATTTTTAAAAGCCATAGGTCCTTCCTTCACTTTACCTTCCATCTGACAGGAGTAAAAGGTGAACAAGTCCAAATCCACCAAAATCAAATTTATCGATTTAAATTCAACAGCAAGATTTCAAGATTAAAATTCCATATTGAGGTAAAGAAGGTGCAGAAACAAGATAACACTCATCAAAGCCTCAAAATATGATGAAAAAAACCAGCAATAACAACAAAAGAACCAAAAAACCACTGAATTGTCAAAATGTTGTGGCAATACGTAAAGAGGAAACTTACATCGTGACCAACATGCATCATTACTTCAGACAACCTTAGAACACTTCTTGATTTAGAACAGGCCATGAAAAATATGCAAAAGTGGAAGAGGAGGCAACATGAGCAAATAATGTCAAATAATTGATGATGCCACCAAAGACAAGCTCCACATACAAGTGCACGAGTTAAGGACAACAGGGCAGAAACCAATACAACTTTGTGATGATGTCTTAGACACCCACCTTTAATCCTAGCGAACATTGAATGACCATTGCACAACGGAAGTAGCTGCACACAGCCCACCAAACCAGCTGGTTTATGGGGCTAGGATTTGTATCCAGAGTAGTGATGATGTGATAAGACCCGAGATAAAGTTAATAAGACTTAAAAGTAAATGACGGTGAAGAACAAAAATAGAAGTGAATCAAACCATAGTGAGTAGGCAGGTTGAAGATAACAAAACGCGTGCATTTCAACTAATTTCAGGCTAATAAAAGAATGAGAAGCATCCCCATGTTCTATCTCTATTCTCTAGCAAGCAATTCGAGAAACAATGTGTACACTAATGCATCCTCTACACTCGTATCTAACCGTTTCTTCATGAAACAATTAGAATCCACTTCTCCAGTATTGCAAAGATTGAGGGTATGTAAGTGGTAGAGTTGAGTAAATTTCCCAAGTATACACTACAGTGGACTATCAAAGAACTTCACATATCCAACTGCAACTTTAATAATTGAAGCAACGCATGTGAATCAAAATCTTTCCCAAAGTGGATCTGGTCATCAATTATCAACACACATTCCAAAATGTCAAAATCTAAGATACCCAAATGCAATGTGTTTTTACAATCTAAGATACCACACACTTAATTTAGAAAATAGCAACTTCTATTTGTGGAAAGTGGATGTCCGTATGTAATTAAATTCAGTGATTCGTACCAGAAATCAAGATGGTTGGCGTTGATTAGTCGACGACAAGGAATGCCATAGAAAGAGGGAAGAGGGTTGGCGACCAAGAGAGTAGCTTCTCTTCTGTTCAACGACTCATTACTCCATTGCAGCCTTTCCCCAGTGACACCCAAAAGAGGCAAAAACGTTTATTCGGTTTCAAATCCCCAAACACCATTCAATTTTAAGGTTATATTGACGGATGGTTTGGTAAACATAACTTAATTTATTTTTTTGGATATATATATAGATATAGATGAGCATAGGTTAGTAGCCTAATTTATAAACCAGTTCATTGTCTTGTTAGATTGTGTGAGCATCCTTCTAGTAATATTATAATTAATTAATTTTTTAAAATATATTTTTTTGTTTATTTTATTTGTTTATCAGTTAACTTTTACCAAATATAATTATCAACTACCAACTAACTTATCAATTATTAATTAGTTTATTAAAATAGTAAAAGGGATGGTTAAATTGAACAACTTGTTCTTCATTTTTATTTTGAAAAATTATTTTTATTAAAATTTATTTCTATATAAATAAAAACTTCTTATTATTAGTTTGTTAAAATCGAAACAAAAATAAAGTTGCTTTTATTTTGTTTGTTTATTTTTTTTGAAATTGGTTTCCTAAAATGGAAGATGTTTGCAAAAATTGGTTTGTTAAAATATAAACAAAACAAATATTGATTTTCTTTTGGTGTAATTTCTTTTTATACTATACAACAATTTTACATATAACTCGTAACCGCATGTTTCGCTTATAATTTTGACTTTTTATTATTTAGAAAATCATAATCAAATTTAAATAATCAAGTAAGCAATTGTTGTAATAATTTAACTTATTGACTTATACCTGTCTGACACCAATAATATAAAAACAACTTATTAACTTATTTCGGTCTGATATCAGTAATAAACACTTTTGAATGTTTGGGTAAACAACTTATATTGTTGTCAAACCGGTAATAAGAAGTTTTTGAAGAAGTTAAACTCTTCTAACTTATAATAAATTGATAAGTGTTCTTGTAGAAAATCATAAGCTGTTTTAAATAAGCAATCACAAACACCCCTTTAGTTATCGTATGGCTTTATTAGAAGCTTAAACTAGGACATTAGAAATAAAAAAATAAAATTGAATTAGCATGTTTGAAACATTTTCAACCCTCTTATATATGGAAAAAGTTGGTTTCAAACGACAACAGTAACCAAATAAAAAATAAGATAATAAATATAGATCATACAACTCAATAAATAATGCCTTAAATAAAATAAAAAATGAATAAATAAAGGCATAAAAATCATTTTTTATATAAGAGTTATTTATGGCATTTTGTTGATCCTATTTAGTAATTTGATGATGATAATCTTTTATACTTACGTTGTGTTCTCGAATTTGGGGAGAAAAGAATATATATATATATATATATATATATATTTGTGTTTTTGAAAGTAAAGGAAATAGTTTTTCATGTTCTTGAACAGGAGAAAAGTAAGGAAATGTGTCTTTTTTACAAATATATTCTTTAAGAATATATCATTTTATTATGAAAGATTGGGTAGTTTTGTAAGTTTAATAATTTTTTTAAAAGTTTTAATTTCTTTCCTTTCTTTTACTACCCTTTCATCCAACATATAGAAGGAAAGTTTTGGGAGGAAACTTATGATTTCTTTCATTCTATTCATTTTCCTTTATTTTATTTTCCTCCTCTTTCCCTCCATTTCCTTTCCTTTCCTTTCCTTCATAAAGAAGGTTTCGAGAACACAACGTTACTGAATTCTTGTATTAAGTTCTAGCTGATAGCACACTCATCAACTAAGTTTGTTCGGTGATCACTGAATGTTTCCTTTGTAAATAATACTTAAGGTTACTATCTTTGACTATTTTGTCAGCGATTGTATAAAATACTTAATGATTTAATTCTTTGTAAGAACTCAATGACCCCAAAGACAAATGTGACTGAAGATAAAGACAAGAAGATCTAAAGCGTTTTTAGTGGTCCTGCCTATCAAAAGATGTGAGAACGGATCAAGTCTTTCTCTTATCAACTCTTGCCAAAGTCGAAACCTATGCGGCTTAGTGACAAAAGGTACAGTATGGCTATTGCTTTATTAACCCCTTTCATGCATAGCCACTATCATGGTACATTGTTCATATGCGACCAAGGTGTTCCCAGCTCAAGGACAAGTAATACCTGCAAACCTCTCCCCAAGTGACACATGGATTATATCTATAATGTGCATTAATTGCACCTGATATAAATAGTTGGGAAGACCTCATTTCTGAGCGTCTTCATAGTTGTCTTCTCCTTTGCTCATCTCATTTCTCCCATAGTGTTTTCTACGCAAGAGTGTTTATGTTTTCTAAGTTTTGTTTTTTTTTGAGATTTTTAGTGCTCTCTATTAGCAAAGTTACATTGTTTTGATTAGGTTTTACACCTTATCTTCTTTTACAAAAAAATTGTAAATTCTTTTATTGATTCTTTTTACAGCCAATAAAAGAATTTAAAATGTAAAAAGTTGTGTTTATATCCAATCCCCACCACCTGGACCCTTCTACAAACTCTAACAGCCTTGTTACACCTTTTGGATATAATAAATGGTATCAGTGAGTTCTTTAATTCTAAGAGATGAGAGTTTGAGCGGTGATCTTAGTGAGCGATGACTAATTCATTTTGAGCGATGAGTGGTTTCTAATATTTTGAGCGATGAGATATTTTTTTAGTTTGATTTTCTTTTTCTTTTTCTTTTAGTTTTAATTTTTTTAATATTTTCTGTTTTGATTAATTTTTTTTATTTTGTAATTTTTATATTTTTTTATTTGTGAAAAAAAATTAGTAAACATTTTGTTTTTGTGTATTTTAGTTTGTGGATTTTTTTAGTATTAGCTTTTTTTTATTTTCTATTTTTAATAGTATTTTTTAAGTGTTAGATTTTTTTTAGTTTTAGTATTTTTTTTTAGTTTTTAGTAATTTTTTAGTGTTAGTGTTATCTTTCTTAAGTATTAGTAATTTTCTGTTTGAGCTAAAAAAGTTTGAGTGAATTTTCTTGTTTTTGAGAGGTTTTTAATAAAATTTTTGGCAAGAGTGCGGAAATTTGTATCTTTGAGTCAATTATTATTTGGAATTTATTTTCATTATGGAGCTAATGATTGTAACTTTTTACAGATAAAATGACAACTGTGGAAAATCAAATTTCAGCTCATGAATCTGATGACGAAAATACTATAACCTCCATCAAATCCCAACCACCCTCCAACTCCTAGTCTGCAAATAATATTGATCCTGATGAAACCATATTTCCAAAAGCCCTTTATTTAGACTTAAAACCAAATAACCACCATCTTAACCTTGAAATGCCATTCGAATATTCGATCATTCTAGAAATTTTAAAAGGCCACCCAATAGCCTATGCACTCACTACTATGGCTAATGTTCCACTTGTTTACCTACAACAATTTTGGTACACCATTTCTTACATCAAAGAAGAAACCCAATTCTCCTTTGAAGGACTTGTGCATCACTATATGAGCAGGCTAATGCTCAAACGAATGCGGAAAATCTTGAACTTGCCAAAACCTAACTCCATTCCCGAAAGAGAATAGTTTGAAGAATTTATATCAGATGAAGAACTATGCACGTACATTAAGAAGTTCGGATATTTTGGAATCCTAAACAATGTGTCACAGTTCAAGCGGAAGTTTCTACCTTTGGTTTGGCATCTCCTGTTCTCCATCTTGAATAGATGCCTTACATCGAAAACTGCCCGCATGGATACATGTAGCAGTTCATTCTTGAAGTTCTTCCATGGCATAGTGTTTAACAAACACTATGACTACACTATGGTTATCTGGAACGAATTGGCGGAGTTAGTTCATGATAAGAAGTTCGCCTCCAAAGCAAGGAAGTTTGTTCCATTCTAGAGTTTTTTTCAACTCATTATCAGATCAATGACGCGGTCAAACAAAGATATACCATTAAGACTAGACAGACCTTTTGGGCCAGACTACGAGATGTAGGTTCTAAGACCGCATACTGAAGTTGAAGATGTGGATGCAATTATGAATATTCCTGATGATTTACTTGCCTATGCCGATCAGAGTTCTTAGTATGTGATAAAATAGAGGAGAGTAATAGATCCTATAGTCCATCCAGAGCCGGAAGGACTTACCCTGGGATCAACTCATGCCTCAGTTGAGCGAAGTGAGGGTTTAGATTTAGATTAGAGAGTTCAGGTACAAGGGGTGTCTGAACAGGGTTGTGTGCAAAGGGAAAATGAGAACGAGAGAGGCTTGACGAGGGGGGGACTCTGATCAGGCAGTAGCTATTGAAAACATTAATTCCTCAAATTCTTCATGTTCAGAAGATACTAAAACTGATTCAGGCATTCATCATGGACAAGATAATGATGATAATGATGATGATGACGACAACAATAATGATGATCAAAATCTAGATGGTGCTAATATCATGAATCTAGAAGACATTCCATCTATGGAATTTTATTTTGGTGAAGAGATTCCAGATTTTGACTATGAAGGTGAAATAGTTAATATCTTGGAGTCGGTAAGGATGGAAGAGAGAGGTATAGTTGAAAATTCTTAGAGGATGAGCGAAAGGGAGAAGAAAACGACGAAGAGTGTGTGACAGGAACTACAAAATAAATATATGTTCCTACCCTAACTTTTAGGAGACGCCGAGTAACCACATATGTTGTTGACGTTTATCCGGTAAATGTTAACATTGAAGAAGACATAGTCCACCCAACTATGCATTTGCACACCCCTCCAAGCCACTCTAATACCTCTCAACAGGTATTAGTCTCATTTTCCCATGGGAATCAAGCACAACGTCTATCTGTTCCTCAATCAGAGGAACTAGATATTGAAAATAGTAGACATGAGCCCTAGTCTACGACTTCTTTCATGAGCACATCGAGTCTAGAGCCTATAAACACTATAGGTACACAGGAGTTAAGAGCATCTATTGCTCAACCTGCTGTTCTCAGTGAACTAGCTGAAACGACCTGAGGAAAGTCATTTGACTATTTACGACGACAGTTGGAGTCCTACCAACGCTAACGCTTTTCCAACGCTGAACATAGGCACAACAGTTTACTCAATTGTTGTTACAACTGGTAATCTATGTGATC